CAGGCAGCAGTGCACCAAGATAATTTTAGGCACTGGGTTTAATAGCCTTACTGCTAGGGAGGGAAGGATCTGTCGTATTCAGTGTGTCTCGGCTTCTCATTTCCCCAATCTGCACTTCAGTTTATCACGATTCCACCTCAGTTTGAAATGTGTTGGGGGCGGGGGGTTAAGTCCACATGAAAATTTATCAGCATTTTAGCACAAATTTCTCCTAGTACACACACTTTTGTATGAAACTTTGCCTAATACAAAGCATGATTCCCTAATGCAATTCATTTTGTGTGCTATTTTAAGCAATGCAATATTTTTAATACACACTTTCCCCAAAATTTTGCATTTTCGTATACGTTACTTAGCTAGAGAACTGTACAGCAAATTCTGAAAAGCATGAATTTCAAAGGATGGCTGAGTTTCAGTTTCGGTACTGCCTCAGAAATGTGAAGCGCATTGAATGTCTTCCCCAGCCCTGCTACAGCAGGCTCACAATCCAAAAGACACAGCACACAAGGGAAAAGTACAGGGTAGGAAGTGGGGGGAAACAATACTAAAAGTTAAATAGCTCTTATGATGATCATGATCTTATGAAGTATTGTCCTGGAATTTGTGGTATGGGGTGAAATGTTTGACGAAGGACTGTAGTTCTGTGGTACAGGCTTTGCATGAGGGAAGTTCCCGGTCCAATTGCTGGCAGCTCCAGGTACTAAGGGTGGGGGGAAATAATATCTGCAACCCAGGAGTGCTGCTGCCTGTCAGTGTGAACTTAGCCCAGAGGTGGCCAACCTGGTGCCCTCTAGGTTCTGGTAGACTACAGCATCCCTGGGGCTGATGGAAGCTAGAGCTGGAGGAGTAGCACATTGGTTACCCCGATCTAGCCTATTTCCTGAGGTGCTAGTTTTCTATGTGCAGGGAGTTTCCCTCCTTTCGATGGGTGACATGGATGAACATTCCACCACATAAGCTTTCACTTGCTGTCTGATGTGAGGCTGCTTGACCACCTTGGAACACCGCACAGATCCTGACAACTACGCCATAATAATAACAGTCACTCTGCAAGTAAAGATATTCCGCTTGTGACCAGGCAGTTCCTTGATTTCCCCTCCCCATAAAAGGATGGTGTTGGTGGGGAACCAACATCATTAGGCCTCGAGACATAATGATGTTTTGATCAATAACTGGCATACGCCAAGAAAGGGACAATTAATAATTAATTTATATGGCACTTTCAATTTCAGAAGTACTTTGCAATCTTCAGCTCGCCCAGTATACGAGACAGGTGGCTGCTATTTTGAGGCAAGTTGCTCAGGCTGTGGCTCATTCCAGGACAAATACTCTTAGCTCTGGCCCTGAAATAATCCAGTAAATTGGGATTGCTTCTTAGGACGATATCAGATGCTTGCTCATTCTGATTTTTTATACAGCACATAAACTGCCTTCTTGACCCATTATTGGTCTCATCCACTCAATCTGCCAGAGTTTGTCTTTGCATGCAGGGGAAGTCCCTAACACACTATGGGTTTAAGACCCATCGGCTACCCTCACCTGGTTTAGCCAGCCAGTTGAAGCCAATCCCAGGATGCGGCTGCTGTTGCAAGCTGACAGCTTCTGGAAGCCACAGGTGAGAGCTGAGATGGGGACCAAAGGTGGACGAACTGTGGGATGTAATCCACTGGGAGTAGTCAAGTACAACATTCCTTGTAATGCTAGAGAAGACATGTGAGGGAATGTTTGGTCCAGCCAGACGAAACTTCCTGTTCCTCCTGGCTGGAGCATCCTTCCTTTGCATGTGACTAAAGGTGGGCGTGACATTACCTGTCCAGGTAACAAAAGGACAAGTCACGCAGCACACCTCTCTCTTTTTCACTTCCTTCTACATTTGACCAGCTTTTAACTAGGACTGCTCTGCTAGCTTTCAGCTAGCAGAAGCACTGAGAATGCCCCCTATATGGGCTAGATCCACATGTACGTATTTGTAACTAAGTCAGCCTTCATGGATCCAACTCTGGACTGATGTAATTAAACTTCTTTTATTGACTTTCAATAAGATTGTGGCGTCTTTATTCTTTTAAGAGGGATTCAAGGGAACTTACCAGGAACGTACAATTCAATTGTACAGATTGAATGGTATAATAGTGAGAGGCTTACACAAGCCTGCAACCATCTACAGTGGTACCTCGGGTTACATACACTTCAGGTTACAGACTCTGCTAACCCAGAAATAGTACCTCAAGTTAAGAACTTTGCTTCAGGATGAGAACAGAAATCGTGCTCTGGCATTGCGGCAGCAGCAGGAGGCCCCATTAGCTAAAGTGGTGCTTCAGGTTAAGAACAGTTTCAGGTTAAGAACGGATCTCCGGAATGAATTAAGTACTTAACCCGAGGTACCACTGTATCTGCTGTGCATATAAAAAGGGGAATGTAAACTCTGCTAAGTAAAGGAACTTGCTAGTGCAAGTTAGGAAGGATATTAATAAACAATATATCCTCTCCTGCCACCCTGAACATTCCCACACAAACTACCCCAGAAGGAGCACAATGCGTCCCCCAACCATAGCTGTCAACTTTCCCCCTTTTTTAAGGGAAATTCCCTTATTCCGAATAGGATTCCTCGGAAGAAAAGGGAAAAGTTGACAGCTATGCCCCCAACAGAAGTCCTAACGCTCCCCTAACACCTCATACACATCAATTAGACTTTTTGCCTCAATATGCAGCAACACCCTGGGATGATTTGGGTTTTTTTTCAGGAACTACAGTTGCAGGATTCCAACCCAGAGAGAGCCATCTCCAAATATGGATGGTACTCGGGGTCTTTCTCTGAAGACGGATTGGACTGTTATTGCGGGGGGGGGGGGAGGCTCCAAATAAAGCAAGAGAGAGGGAGTGAGCCTTAAATGTAGGGATCTCGATAAAGTGGCAGCCGTTGAAGCAGTTAATGGGCAATGAAAAGGGGTAGCCCTGCCACAGGGTATGTGGAGAGCTTCCTTGCCCACCCCACCCCCCACTTTCCTGCGGCAATCTCCAGCAGCCTGGGAAGAGCAGACCCGAACAGCGACAGCCTGCTCAGACATATGCTTCTGATCACACTCTTCCGTCATTGCCGGCTGGCGTGCTGGGTCAGGCACAAGTCCCAGGTCCCAGGAGGGAAGGCCTGCGATGAGAGAGGCAGGCATGATGGCTGGTGTTCCAAACTGCAGAGGAAAGGTAGAGCCCACCTTCCAAAAGCAGGGGCGCCCCCAGAATGAAGCACTTGCCCTAGGATCTGACTGGCATGGTAAGGTCAGGTCAGCAGGCAGTTTTCTGTTTCAAGGACTGTCAGGTCCAAGTCCAGCTTAAAAGATGAGGTTTTTAGAGAGGATGAGAGGCCTTGAAGTTGCCTGCCCACACCTGGGCAACAGACTGAGCAGGCTGCCCGCAGCTTACCTAATCACCGCAGGGATAAAATTATAGCAATTCTTTCTACATGTGCAAGGCATATGCAAGTTTTATGGAAATCTATGTCTTCCTTTTGCCCATTGTTGGTGAGGCATTTCCTCTTTTGGGGGAAAGGGGCAGGTTCCGCAGCATTTTAATGAGAATGTCCCCTAATATACACATCCATGTGTGCTATTTTGCCCAATATACATATTTCTGCAAAGCGATTTCCTTCAATGTGTCTCTGTGTTGTTTTCCCTAGGATATGCATTTTAATGCACATCTTCATCTTGTATGCTAATTTTCCTATATATTCCTTGGCTCGCACGGCTGGCAAACTGCATTGCAAAATTTGGGGTAGGGCACAAATTGAAGGAAGCCCGTGTTTCATTTTGCGTATTGTTTTGGAAAGTGGGAATGTCGTGTCACGATTGGATGCTTTGATTGGATGTGTATATTTAGATTTGTGATTTAACTGTAAAATGTGGAAATGAAAAATAAAATATTTAAAAATAAGTGTGAGCTGAGTCTGATTTCTCCCCTGCCCCTAGTCTGCGGGCCACATTCACTTCCGGGCATCTTCCGGGAGGGGGGGTGGTATTCTAGAACTGCACAAGAATAGGAGGGAAAGTAGGCACAGCAATCAATGTAAGTGTTCCCTTTGTACAGAAGGCTAGTACAGTGGTACTTCGGGTTACAGACACTTCAGGTTACAGACTCTGCTAACCCAGAAATAGTACCTCGGGTTAAGAACTTTGCTTCAAGAAGAGAACAGATATCGTGCTCCGGCGGCGCGGCGGCAGCGGGAAGACCTATTAGCTAAAGTGGTGTCTCACGTTTAGAACAGTTTCAGGTTAAGAAGGGACCTCCGGAACAAATGAAGTTCTTAACCTGAGGTACCACTGTATCTAAATGTACACACAAACAGCCCCCCATGCATCTTTTTCTGCAAGTAAAGTTCTGATTAAATTGTGAGCCTCAACAATGTTTTATTTCTAAAAGGAGTCCCATTTTTTGCACCCAGTCGCTTCAAGCTGCACAATATTATTACCTGTAATAGATTTCTCTATCTTTCATCCAGGCAAGCAAGAAGCATTATCAGAGTCCAGAGGCACATTCCAGCCAGGCAAAGCGACGCCAGTGAGGGGTGTAACTGCAGAGAGTCTGGAGGCTCAATAGAGGGGTCTGGAGGGCTCTATTTGGCCCTCAGCCAGAAGTTCTGATACCTGTGTTACGTTAGACCAGGGGTAGGCAACTTAAGGCCCGGGGGCCGGATGTGGCCCAATCACCTTCTCAATCTGGCCCGCGGACGGTCCGGGAATCAGCGTGTTTTTACATGAGTAGAATGTGTCCTTTTATTTAAAATGCATCTCTGATTTATTTGTGGGGCCTGCCTGGTGTTTTTGCATGAGTAGAATGTGTGCTTTTTTAAAAAATGCATCTCTGGGTTATTTGTGGGGCATATTCTTTTTTTCCCTTCTAAAATGTAGTCTGGCCCACCACATGGTCTGAGGGATGGTGGACCGGCCCACGGCTGAAAAAGGTTGCTGACCCCTGCATTAGACCAATTAGAAGACACACAGACAACCAATTCCTGGGATAGCTTAGTCAGTAGAGCATGTGACTCTTAATCTCAGGGCTGTAGGTTCGAGCCCCACGTTGGGCAAAAGATTCCTGCATTGCAGGGGGTTGGACTAGATGACCCTCATAGTCCCTTCCAACTCTACAATGCTATTGTTCTGAATTGTTTGCAGGGAGGCTAGACAGCTCTGCATCAAAGTGTCACCCCACACTTTCCATTACATTTCCTGTCTTTTGGGGAAGTGGGTTTGTTGCGCATGAGCACCGGACAAACTGTAAATTCCACAACCTGAGTTTGCCGGTGTGTGACGGACTCCCATCCTTAAAATAGTGGCCTTCTGGAACCACCCACAGTGCCACTCTCCTCCAGCTCTTTGGACTTTGCGGATTCAGTCAGCCGGAGCCTCTGTTGTAGTACACAGAGCGGGACACACACAAACATTAATCGCTGGAATGGATCAGGGGAGCTTTGCCTAGTTGCTGGCCATGAACTGCTGCCCTGGGATTAGGAATTAGTTCAATACGTGCCAGGATCCAGGTCCTACAGTGAGAAAAGAGATCTTTAGCCTATCAAAGGCGGTCCCTTCAGGTCAGAGGCCACGGTCTGGTTGTTTCAGTTCAAGATCCCTGGCAGGTCCTTCTCGCATTGCCTCTAGAATAATTTTGCATGGGAGTTGTGTGGAGGCTGCCAGATGACGGTTCCTTGCTAGCAGCCCCACCCCTCCCAGCGGCTGCCAGCAGAACTCAGGCTAGGTTGTCAACTGACCAGAAACTGGTCTGCTCCTGTGCCTTTAATAGCAGCTTCATGGGCAGAAATCCGTAAAGGAAGCTTTCCCCCAGCCTGGAGCAGAGCAGCCTGGAGCAATAGTTATCAACTACTAATGCCTATCAGCTGCTATTATTAAAGGAACAGGAAGACCAGAACCCAGAAGGTACGCAGGGAGAAGAAGTCTGGCTGGCCATTGGCAACCCAGAGATTTTACCCTTTTATCTCTGCTACTGAGTTGGTCCTTCTCAGTCTTGTGATTCCCCCTTCTTTGCAGGGATAGGGGGTCCTTAATGCATACCCGGGATGCAGGTGGAGCTGTGGGTTAAACCACAGAGCCTAGGGCTTGCCAATCAGAAGGTCGGCGGTTCGAATCCCCGCGACGGAGTGAGCTTCCATTGCCCAGTCCCTGCTCCTGCCAACCTAGCAGTTTGAAAGCATGTCAAAGTGCAAGTAGATAAATGGGTACCACTCCTGTGGGAAAGTAAACGGTGTTTCCGTGTGCTGCTCTGGTTCACCAGAAGTGGCTTAGTCATGCTGGCCACATGACCCAGAAGCTGTACGCTGGCTCCCTCGGCCAATAAAGCGAGATAAGCAAGTGCCGCAACCCTAGAGTCGTCCGCGACTGGACCTAACAGTCAGGGGTCCTTTACCTTTAATCCATAGCCACCCCACAATGCTATCACCACCACCCTGCAATTTTAAGAAAATAGTGTCTCTCCGATGTAGCCTTCCAAAAATGGTTGCTAGAGTCTGGCACAAAAAGGTAATGCCCAGGAAACTCAAGCACTCCTCCGTAGATTTGAAGGTAAAAGAGGCATCTTGGACTCCTGAAACAAGGACTGCTAAAAACAAACAAACAAACAGCTGGGAAGGGCTTGTGGGGAAGGGATGAGATCCTGGCTCCATTGCAGAGCATCTGCATTGTGGGTGGTTCCAGAAGGCCACTATTTTAAGGGTGGGAGTGAGCCGGGAGGAGACCCTGGCTCTGTTGCAGATCATCTGCTTTGCACGCAGAAAGTCCTAAAATCAATTCATGGCATCTCCAGGCAGGGCTGGGAGCGACCTCTGTCTGGAGGCCTGGAGAGCCACTTCCTGTCAGTGTAGAGAGTGCAGAGTTAGGTGGACCCGGGACCCCGATATGGGAGTGTTGCTCCAACTCAGTACAAGGCAGCTTTCTGCAGGAAGGATCTGTAGCTCAGTGGGAAAGAATCTGCGTCGCATGCAGAAGGTCACGGGTTCAATCCCCTGTGGCATCTCCAGATGGACTGCGAGCTGAAACCCTGGAAAGCTGCTGCCAGTCAGTGTGGACAACACTGAGCCAGAGGGACCAATGGTCTGACTCAGCCTAAGCCCAGCTTCCTACATTTCAGATTCCGCCATGTTTCTAAAGCAAGGGTGTTTTACAAATTGACACCTCACTGAAATGAATTTCAAGGCTGGTTTGCACAATTATTTTTAGACAGAGAGGCGTCTGCGACACAGATATGGTTTGCCTGTTTTTCTCCTGTTGGGGGCACAGGTAGGGGTTGCCACCATTTCTTTCCTCTTCGAGTGGCCTTGCTCCTCTGTTTCTTCAGTACGGCTGACACCCAGAAATGTCGCAAGAGATGCTCCCAGGGGCCCCAACAACCCTGCGTTTTGCCTCCATGTCGGGAAAAGCCTCTCCTTATTCAACACACAGGAGCAGAGAGCAAGGAAAGAGTAAAAGTAAAGACGGCACTCCTACTCTTGTGTCAATACAAATTGAGCATTGTTTAGCCACGTTCATTAAAGGTGAGTTGTGCCATGATGAATGGGCATCTGGATGAGCAAAGAGTTTCCTGGGGTAGAAAAATGCCACAAAGTCCACAATGGATTTTTTTCCCCATGCTCAGCTGAGTTCAAGAGCCACATAGGCTTGTATGATTCCATGCTTTTCCTACGCAGAGTAGACCTCTTGGAATCAACTGGCAAGCCTAACTTGAGTTTTTCCCATTTCCATGGGTCTACTCTGAATTGGATACAACCCAATATTACCTTTGGCATTGAGTGAGCCTACTTGGAGACAAAATGGGTAGGAAGAGAACCAGGGATGTCACCATCTTGAACTCCTTGGGGTGGAATATAACTGCAGTATATAAGGAAATAACCAGTGCTATTTTAATAGAAAAAGAGGTGCCGGAACTCACCACGAATGCCTCCCTTGTTCTTTTATAATGGCAGTGGGGCCCACCTGAGAGGAACTGAGTTCTGGTGAGTTGCAGCTGAAGCAAAGCCCTGAAAATAACCTTTGAGGGTTCATTTGCTGGGTTCGCAACCTTGGGAGAGATGTATAAGCACAGCATGCAAAGTGGAGAGTCCACACAGCGCCTCTGTGGGAAGGGCTGTGGTGCAGGTGGTCTTGCATGCAGAAGATTCTGGGTTCAATCCCCGGTATCGGCAGTTTAAGGGCCAGGGAGGTGGTGCTGGGAAAGAACTCTACCCAAGACCCTGGAGGGCCACCGCTGGCAATTCTGAGCATTGTGGACCCACAGGGCTGTATCCAAAGTTAGTCCTACTCACAGCAGCCCCATTGAAATTAATGGGCATGACATTGCCTGGATCTATTGATTTCCATGGGTGTGCCTCTTGAGTAGAAGTTGGCTGGGGGTGGCCCACAGGCTAACCTACTATAAAAACAACTTCCTCTGTGTAATCTTCCTAGTGTGGACTAGGATCTGAGAGATTCCTGCATTGCAGGGGGTTGGACTAGATGACCCCTGGGTCCCTTCCAAATCTACGATTCTAGGATTCTAGGATCCCCACCTGGCCATGAAGCTCAATGGGTGACCTTGGGCCAGTCACTGCCTCTCAGCCTAGCCTACCTCACAGGGTTGTTGCCGGGATTAATTGAGGAAGGGGAGAACCATGTACTCCATCTTGAACCTCTTGGAGAAAAAGGTGTGATATAAATGCAATAGATACCTAACTAATGAAATGCTATGCATGCTGACGTTTTTGCTCATGCCAGAAACAAGTCTGGTTTCAGCATCAGAATTCAGTCCTAAGAAAGCAGAGTAGCAACAGTGTGCCCAGGCATGTACAAAGGGCCTCTTCTTGACCGGTGGGATCATCAGAACTATCCCACAAACATCAGGGTCCCATGTCGGAACACCTGCTTCCCAGTTAGGGTTGAGCCCCTGGGACCTATATAAATATGAAGCCTTGACTACTACAGGACACAGGACTTCGCTAGACCGCTTCGCCTCCCGCACACATGCCAACACCTGCACACCATGCAGGGAAGTCTCCTCTGACCCACCTGTTCACTTGCAAGGGCTGCAGCTCCTCCTTCTGAAAGCAGGCGAAGCAGAAGGAATCCATCTCCCTGAGGATGCAAGGAAGGGGGCGAACCAACTCCAGTCCAGTGCTAGCATCTCTCTTTGCACGGGGCGGGGCTGCCCTCTGCTGTCCCGGCCCAGTCGCTGAGAGGAAGCATCTCAGCCCTTGGTCTCTCTCATGACCTGCCTCTCCTTCCAGCTTGCAAAGCTGTCACAGCTCCCCTTGCAGAGGCCCTGCCAGGGCCAAAGAGGTGGGCAGTGGTGTTTTGCGACCTAAGCAAGGGGTCTCATCAATCTCAGGCCTTAACAGGCTCCCTGGCAGGCAGTGAGACCAAAGCAGGCTTTCACACCTTCTTTCTCAAAGGGTTGACCATCTCCTGCCATGCTTGGTTCTTTCTGTCTCACCATGGGGAGTCCTTTCAGCCCACCTTGTAGCTTCTATAGACCCCAAGTCTGCTCAACAGGAGTGTAGGCCTCAGTAGATTCCTCTCCACTCAGGACCCTCTTTGTCAAACCTTGCTGGCACCCCTCTCTTTGGCTGTGGACCACCAGATCTCAGAGCAGGCCCACTCTGGCATGGGCGCAGAAGGCAGAAAAATTCTCAGGCTTCTAGTGAGGAGCTTTGCAAGACAGGAGATGTTCCCTTCAGGTCAGGACCATCACCAGGCGTCGTCTCCCAGGAGCAGGTGCAAGGTAGTCTTGACTGCACGTCCCAGTTGTTCCTCTGAAAGTGCCGTCGCTCTTCTGGAAGGGACAGGAGGTCAGTCCTGGGCTGTCCAGATTGCCGTGACGGACCGCGGAACCTGGCATTCAAAGCATCCCAGCGCAACGAGAGAAGCTCTCTCTTCCAGGGACCATCTGCGTGGACGTCGCCAGCTGCAGCAGTCTGGATCTGTGGGACAGGAGAAGGAGTTGGTGGCAGCAAGTTGCATGGAAAGATATGCGTGTGCATGAGAGAGAGAGAGAGAGAGAGAGAGAGAGAGAGAGAGAGAGCAGTGTTCCTCCTTGACAGTTCATTCAGGCTGCGCAGCCAAGGAGACCGGGAGAGCAGCCCAGGCTGGCCAAGCGCACACAGCCTCTCTCGCCCCGGGAATAAAAACTTATGGGTCCGCCAAAGAGACCCAGTTCCGCAGGGCTTGTCTCGTTGACAGAGCAGCCGGCTCCCTCTGACAGATAAAGCAGCGTGGGTATTAATAGCTCAAGATTCACGCGGAGAGGCTGGCGGGTTAACTCTTGTGCTGCCAGCAACCCAGCCTCCTCCATCTACAGGTTCTCTAGGACCGAGTGGCTACTGGAGCTCATGTCCTCAAGGACGGGCTCTCTCTATCTCTCATCAGTCTCCAGGAAGCGTGGGGTGGAAGGTTGCCACTGTCTCATTTGGATTGGGGTTTCTTTTTTGCTTTTCAACTGCCCATGCTCCTGCACCTTCAACAACAGCCCACTCTAAGTGGGGGACGCTCTCCTTTCAAAAGCAAAAGAAGCCATGGCAAAAAAAACCCTAATTCCTGTACTTTGGGCTATGCTTCAAACTGCAAAAGAGCAGGAGCAGTTTTGGAAGTTGGCAGCCCAACGGGGAGGTAGAAGGCCCCTGAAGAGGGCCAGCAGCTCCCTGCCAAAGCTTGCACAGATTTTCAAAGATGGGGATCAGTGGGGAAGCCGTTCCTCTCTCCCTACCTTTCCCCTTAACTATTGTGCATTAAAGTAGGTTAAATCAATACCCCATCTCGTTTGTTCTCTGTTTTGTATTATTTTGCTGCTAGGTCGGCTGGCAGTAGAATCCCCAGTGTGGATCAGATCTCCTGAGCCCTAGTGCAGTCCTTTTATTTAGGGGCAAGATGGGTGTACCCCACTAAGTCTTTGAGGACACACACAGCCAGCCGATCCCTTAATAGTAGGGAATGTCAGAATATGGACATGCAGCACAGACCCATATGTCTGTTTAATCTTGGAGCCCAGGGAGAGGGACAGGCAGAAACCTGCAGATGCATAAGTTGAGTCGTGCTAGGAATGGAGGAGAAATTGGATTCGGGTCTCACTTGAAACTGAATCTATCAAGTCTGCACCTTCCGAAATAATATGCGAACTGAAACACGGTTACCCATAAAAAAAATCGCACTTACCCAAATTTCACTATGCATGTTCGCCAACCAGCCAATGTTTACAAAAACAGGAAAACATGAATAAAAATGAATGTACCAGTGAAAATCACGCACAACAATGCATTATATTAGGGGGAATGGCTTGCAAAGTGCACATCAGGCAAAACTGCATTTAGAAATGCGCACATTTTGTGTTCAGAAATTTGCGTAAAAGTGCTGATGAATATTTGTGAGGTTCTTTATAATAAATAAATAAAGTGCAAATGTCTGCAAAAGGTGGGGAACAGGATTTAAGATTGGAAAAAATTAGAAATTGAGAGAACTGAAATGGACCGATCCTTCTGTCCCTAAGTATACCTATGTCCTGTTCTTGACAGCCTCGGGCTTTGGCCTCTTCTCATTCTCCAGTGTTGCAGTACAGCCCTCTTGTGTCTGTAATATATTCTGCAACATCACGCAAATCCTTGCCTGTGCCTTCGTCATGTGAAGAAGCTGCTCTGTGTGTTACTGGATATACTTTTTAATTCAGCAGAGCACAGGAGGCGCTTACTTCCCCTGACCACCCTATCGCTCACTAGTTGTTGGACCAAGAAGTGTGTGGAAAGTGGTTTATAAAGGATTTCACGCGTCCTTCATAGCAAGTTTGCACTCCTGCAGTGCAGGAATCTCAACTGAAGCATCCCTGACAGATGGCCACCCAACCTCTGCTTGAAAAACCTCCAGTGAAGGAGACCCCACCACCTTCAGAGGAAATCTCCTCCACCGTTGAACAGCTCTTAGTGTCGGAAAGTTCCTCCTGAGGTTAGTTGGACTCGCCTTTCTTGTAATTTGAATCCATTGCTTCTGATGTTTCTCATGCAGACCCTGCTCATCACAGCAGACCATTGGTCCACTGGCCTCATTCTGGTCTCCTCTGACTAGAAGTAGCATACCAGGGTCTTGGAGAAGGGGGCTTTCTTTCCCCAAGGTTGCTACTTGAGATGCTTCAGGTGGAGGCTAGAACTGAACATGGGAACCTTCTGCATGAGAAAAATGTACCCCACCACCAAGTTATAGCCCATCCCCAAGTGCTTCTCAGTAGAGTCAGTCCATATATTCAGCTGCTGTTCTCCAAGTGTCCACAGTCAACGGAGCACTGTTCATTCTGCATATGTGCAAACTAGTCATTACAATAATTAAATTCAGTGCCTAAGCTGCATTGTCACACAAGTCATCTTTCACACACCTGGAATTCACACCTGCTTGCAACGGAAGGATGCCAAAAATATTTATGTAGTCTGGCTCAAGCGATGCTAAGAAACATTTGATTTTGCATTCCTCCATCCAATGAACTCAGGCCATCTTTTTTTTAACCTTTGCGACAACCCTGTGAGGTGAGCTAGTGTGCTGGTCCAGGGGGGAGGTTACCGTGGGGCGAGGTCCAGGACCTGAGTTGAGGGTCGCCAGACAGTCCTCCTCGGGCAAAGCAGGGTCCACAGCGAGAAGCCGGGCAAGGACAGGAACTCTGGGGGAACAGGACTGGATGCTGGCCGAAACAGCTCTTCAACGACATTGCTCCCGCAACCTGGGACCGGGCTGACTGGCCTTTATCTTCTCTGAGGCCAGGGGCGGTCCCGGCCCCCAGGAGACCCGCCTCTCCTGGCCTTAAGGCGAGCACTCCTCCTGGGAGAAACCAGTTCCCTTCGCCTCTCTGCCCTGAGCCTCTGCAGTTCAGGAGAGGCTGAAGGGTTACTGGACCCAGGGGGAGACTCACCTGCAGGCACTGAGTCCTCAACCACCTCCGGAGCCAGAGTGGATTCACCTGGTGCCTGCTCCTTCTGGTGCCTGCTCCTGAGGATCCGGCACAGGTGCAGGCACTTCAGAATCAAGGCCCTGCCCCAGTTCAGCCGGCCCTGGAGGCGGGGACTCCTGTGCAGGCTGGGATTCCTCCGGTTCAGCCTCTGAATCGGATTCCCAGGCCATCACAGCTAGGCAGGGAGAGAGGAAGCAGATCAAGGCCACCATAGTGGAGCAAGGATTTGAATCGAGGTCTCACTGATTAAAATCCACCACACACTAACCAATACATGAGACATTCCCTTCCTACCTTTTAAGAGAAAAGACTACAATTTTGTGGGACTCAATGAGGACTCAGATTGGGGTTGGGTGGGTGGTCTGGACTCACGCTGCTGTTCTGTGATGAAGCCTGGAGCAAATGAAGTTGGCTTGGACATCTTTTTCATTTATTTGCTCAGTCTCTGTGTGCCTATGATATCCTCAGAAAGCCTTTCCTAACCTCTAGATGGAGAGCTATTGCCTTGTGCCTGGGGGAGGGCGCAGAATTTAGGAGCCAGCCTGAAAGAATTGGAGACTGTGTCGGCAACAGAGAAGAGATCCTGCTGTGATGCTGTGGTCTGCTAAAAACAAACTGGGAGAAACTTCCAAATGTTATTTTTTTGACCATTCGTTGAGGGAAAACCAACCAACCTTCTTCATTAGGCAAATTGCAGCAGTGGGGGGGGGGGGGATTTAGATCAGAAAAAATGGCACATGGGACAGGTTAACCAGAGGGCCCAAAAATGCATTTGGCTCTTTTAAAAAACCTCTCAGCCAGTGGTGACTTGTGCCCACTGGGACTGGTAAGTCAGAAGGCAGGGAGCCCAACAGTAGGGGGAGCCACAACTAATGGCAGGCAGAGCCAACTAGTTCCCCATAGTCTTCCCTGCTGAGTTCTACCAGGGCAAAACAGAGACTGAGGAGGGGGTTGGAGCTGACAGCCAGAGCCATCTCCTGGGCTGGTTGTAAGCAAGAAGACAGGAGAGTAGGGATTGACTGAGGACAGACTGAGGTAGGTGGGGCAGTGCCCCATTGCCCCAATAGACCAGCCTCTGTGTGATGGCCTGGGAATCTGATTCAGAGGCTGAACCCGAGGAATCCCAGCCTGCACAGGAGTCCCCGCCTCCAGGGCCAGCTGAGCTGGGGCAGGGGCTTGAATCTGAAGGGCCCGCACCTGTGCCAGATCCTCAGGAGCAGACACCAGATGAATCCACTCTGGCTCCGGAGGTGATTGAGGACCCATTGCCTGCAGGTGCTCCTCTCCCAGCCCTGTCAGGGGAAGGTGAGGTTGCCTCTGGGTCCAGTAACCCTCCAGCCTCTCCTGAGCTGCAGAGGCTCAGGGCAGAGAGGCGGAGGGAACTAAGTTCTCTCAGGAGGAGTGCTTGCCTTAAGGCCAGGAGAGGTGAATCACCTGTGGGCCGGGACCGCCCTAGGCCTCAGAGGAGATAAAGGCCAGTCAGCCCAGTCCCAGGTTGCAGGAGCAACATCGCTGGTAACCTGTTCCTGCTGGCACCCTGACCTGCTCTCCTGAGTTCCTGACCATGCCCGACTCCTCGCTTTGGACCTCGCTTCACCCCGACGGACAGCCTCCTTACCCTCGACCTAGGACCGGACTTAGACCACGCCGCACGGTAACCCCCCCCCCCCGGACCAGCACACTCTGCTGCTCTCAGCAGATCAATCCCAGATTTCCATCTGCTCTGTCTTCTGTGTTCCTTAGTAAGCAGTGGGCCCTCGATGGCTCCCAAAGGATGGAAGCTGCACATCTGATTCTTCTTCTTTTTTAATGGACTCATTTAGATTGGCATAGGAACGTGCACACTGGCATAGGAATGTGTACACAGAACTACTAGTGCAGACTTTAGAGGAGTTGCACGGAATTCTTCTGTGTGGAAAAAGCTGGTGCGGCCTCATGCCTGTGTTGCCCGCAGAGGAAGCCTCAACTTGACAGTTTTGACGTCCTTACCTGTAGGTAGGCTGAGAGTGTCGTGGCCATGACCTTGCGTTCTGGGGCACAGAGAGCAGCGGGTGGTGGGCACAGGTTCCTGGCTTTTCCCCCAGCACGGGGCTTTGTCATTTCTCCTTCTGAATTATTTAGTGTTCCTCAGTTTGAAATGCATCTCCCCAGCCTAGCCCTGGCCCCGCTAATGGGAAAAATCAATCGCTTATTAATTTATGGGGGCCAGGAGGCTTTCGAATGCAGCTCGTAAAGAGCAGTTGGCCGGACGGCACGATCCGCTGGGACAGTGAGGGGATGTCGCTGCTGTTCTGGAGGGAACCTGAGCAGGCCAGAAGGGAAGTAACCCAAGGTGATGCGCACTGGGTACATTCCTCCTTCCCCCAGCCAACATTGTGTCCTACAAAAGGTCCAGAGGGAAACATGTACAATCTGCACATCATTCCGGGTCCTGTCTCTGGTAGGAGTCCTACCTCTGCTACCTAAGACATAAGAAGTGCCCTGCTGGATTACCATCCTGTTCTCACAGTGGTCAACCACATGCTGATGGGAAGCTTAGGACCTGGACGCAATAGCACCCTCTTCCAATTTTGATTCCCAGCCACGGGTATTCAGAGGCATCCTTCCTCCAACAGTGGTGGTAGAACATAGATCCAGCAGTGGTGGTCAAATCCAAAGCTGACACCAGAACCTGACATCATGGACAAGCGGCTAGGGTCCAGCACCATAAGATGCTTACAAACTCTGAGTCTGGCCCAAATGGCAGTTTCTCTTCAGAGGAGGATGTTTAGATCACATCATCCTTAGTTGAGGGGGAGGGGAGATAGCCCTCCTTCTCAAGTATTTCTTAGCCATTCAGAGGACTCATTCTTGTCACCATTCAGCCAATCTCCCTGACAAAAGATAGGTTGTACAGTCACTCTGCTAGAACTATCAAGGCCATCTTTGTCTCCATCATCCCGTATAATAAAAATGTAAGGCTGTCAACATGCTGCAGTTCATATTGCTGCCAATAGGCGGCCACACCAAGTCCAGCATGACACAGGGGGCCCAGACGAGTTGTTTAAAGGAAGGAGGAAAGCACTTCACTCTGTGATCCATGCACCTACCTCACTCATCCCAGGTTGAACATGGCTGCGTGGGGGGAGGCATTTTAATTTTTAAAAAAATGCTTTCTCAAATGCATACTCCCTCCTTTAAAAGGGGTTGAGGTGAGCTGTAAGGGGAAGGGCTCAGGGCAAGCTAGAAAGGAATGGGTGAGGTGTAAAGGAAGAGGAGTTTGAGCAGGTGTAGAGGTGTGGGGAAGGAGGGTTGGCAAAGGGGTTGACAGGTTGGTGTATGGAGGAGCAGGGGCAGTAGCCCCTAACCTTGCAATACTGTATATACATGGTAGCCTTAGGCAAATCACTCTCAGTCTCCCTGTCTGCAAAATGGGGATAATCAGACCTACTTTACAGGAGTATTGTAAAAATGACTAAGTTAATGGGATGTGCAGCTCTCTGAAGATGGAAGCATGTGATATACAGTGGTACCTCGGGTTAAGAACTTAATTCGTTCTGGAGGTCTGTTCTTAACCTGCAACTGTTCTTAACCTGAAGCACCACTTTAGCTAATGGGGCCTCCTGCTGCCGCCACGCTGCTGGAGCACGATTTCTGTTCTCATCCTGAAGCAAAGTTCTTAACCTGAGGTAATATTTCTGGGTTAGTGGAGTCTGTAACCTGAAGCATACGTAACCTGAAGAGTATGTAACCTGAGGTACCACTGTAAATCCATAAAAAGAGGACCTGTTTCCATTCAGTGGAACCCAACTTTTAAAAGTTTTCTTTAGGGGTTGGGTAAGACATTTAAGTACGCTCAGAATAGCATTACTTTTGGCCCCAGTGTTTGCATTCAACCACTTAGATCGGTTTTCTCTGCAGACGCCTCCCAGGGCCCTCCTAGACGGTAAGATCATCCCCATTAGTGGAAGGCCTTTCAAGGCCTTGATGTTCTCAGATGATATTGAAATTCTCCGGAGCGTATAGAACAAAACAACAAACTCTCAGAATGGAACAATTGTTTTTTCCCCTGCAGCTTGGAACAGGTTCCAAAAGAACAAACCTCTGGGCAGCCTTGGGGCTGTGTGATAGGCAGAGATAATGGTATTATCTGGACAAATGGGATCAGGGCGGGCTCTGATGCTGGTGAAATTTAAGGCCAGTATCTCAGTTGTTCTGCTTCTTTGTAAGCATCAGGCTTAGAGGGGAATCAAAGCATCCCCTGCAAATTCAGAACCATGAATTTGCATCCAGATGTGTGCAGTGAGTACAACTGCTGTTAGGATTGCCAGCTGACTAGATACAAACTTGTCTTGATCTGCTCCTGTGCTTTTTGCAGCAGATTGACCAGCGGAGATCAGTCAAAGAAGTTTTTCATAGCATTTCATTCTGTAGAAAGCCACTTCGAGTCTCCTTGGAGAAATAGATAGAATGAAAAATTTAAAAATATAATAAATTACACTCTCTCCTGATCAAGAACAAGCTGCTGATTAGACTTTTTGAAAATGGCAGACTGTGTGTGACATCAGTGTGGTGTGTTGAACAGAAAGCTATGAACTGTCCCAGCGAGGCCTGGTTTCACATCCCCATTGTCAGGTGCGAGCTATCATGAAATCACAACATGCAAGTTGGAGCTGGACTAGGCAGCCTTTCAAAATGGAAGAAACCTCAAAAAGAGGACTGTCCTCTATAAAATACAACATTTAGGGTTGTACTTCATTCCAAAACAACATACCAACTGAACCACAGCCATCCTTTGAAGTTTGCCCTTCTCTGGATTTTGTGATACAGTTCTCAAGCTAGATAATGAGTACCAAAATGCATATTCAAAGGTGTGCATTAAAATGCATATGTTAGTGAAAATAACATGCAAAAAATGCACTTTATTAGGGAAGGCTTCTTTGCAAAATAAAAAAAAAAACAACCAAAAAAACCCCCTGTACATTATGCAAAATTGCACACAGAAATGTGCATATCAGGAGAAATCTGCAGTAAAACACTGATTAAATTTCACAAAAACTTTCCTAACAAACAAAAAACACATTGAAAACTGATGTGCAAATGTGAGGAACTGAATTTAAGACTGGAGAAACGAAAAACGGAATCTGCAGTAAAACACTGATTAAATTTCACAAAAACTTGCCTAACAAACAAAAAACACGTTGAAAACTGATGTGCAAATGTGAGGAACTGAATTTAAGACTGGAGAAACGAAAAACGGAGAGAAACCAAGACTTGACAGATCAGCTCATCCCTATCAGGCCCCCCACCCCAATCCTGAAACTTCCCTTACTTGACGCAGCCTTAGCACCAATGTAAGGGGCTCAATCTCCAGGACCGGCCCAGGCTGCTGCAGGCAGTACAAACACACATCCACAAAAAGAAATGTTAAAAATTTAATGTGTCAGCTAATGGGGTGCAGAGAGAGAGAGAGAGAGAGAGAGAGAGAGAGAGAGAGAATCTACTGACAAACATCAGGGCTCCTGGGATTTCCCTAATGAGTTCCAGGAAGCGATAGATGGCTAACCCAAAAGGCACCATATAGTTGCTGGTAGCAAGGAACTTGGAAGCAGCGTCCTTGTTCTCTGGGGACATCAGGCCCGCCATGCATCAATGATATTTCATAAACATAGCCTGAGTCACTCCTAAAACCACAGCAGTTCTGGGAAAACCGAGAGTCCTGGAAGAATCACATTGCCGGGTGTCCAGATCCGAGACCTTTCTTTGGCTTTGCCCATGCTTAATTTCTCCCCCTCCCCGTCCCTTTCCTTCAGTGTAAATACAATATAGAACTCAATAAAAACCCATTAGCTTGATCACAGCCTCAGAGAAATTGCAAGGTTTTAATAGTCGGGTAGCTGATTTTGCCTGGTTTGTTGGCTTTGAGCCAGCTTATTTCATGCACTGTCACTTAAATAATTTGGGATATTTCCCTCCCCGCCCCCAAGTGCTAAGTTTCTAGGCCATCTCGCAGATACAGAGCACTGCTGGGGGGGGGGGGCACCACTTGTGGCAGGAATTTCAGCAGGGATGGTGGGATTGGTTGAATGTGGCTGGGGCTAAGTGTAATTTAAGAAGAGGGTGGCGGGGGGATGAGCGTGGATAAGAACAGGAGACCTCTTCTGGATCAGACCAAGGTTTTATCTAGTCTAGAAGAGAAGAGAAGAAACTGTGGTCTTCTGGATGTTAGAATCATAGAATCATGGACTTGGAAGTGATCCCAAGGGTCATGTAGTCCAACCCCCTGCCATGCAAGAATCTTTTGCCCAATGTGAGGCTCAAACCTGTGACCCTAAGTCTAAGAGTCTCATGCTCTACCAGCTGAGCTATGGACTCCAACTCCCATCAGACCCAGGAAGTATGGATCGTGGTCAGGGATGATGGGAATTATAATCCAGCAATATTTGGAGTAAGGGCATAGGTTCCCCATCCCTGATTTAGTCTTGTATTTTCTAACAGCGGCTTACAAACAGAGTGTAAAGGCAACAATCTAGGGTAGTCCTGGGTCCTACTGTACAGGACTGAAAGCAGCAACAACAGTGAATACTGCCTGTGAGTTTGCTGGGTTCTGTTGCATTCTGGAAATAGGAAGAAGAAGCAAACATGGGAAATATCTGCTCCCACTTCTGTCATCGTCAGAATTATCTGACATCCCTAACTTGAAAGTTGCATACTTAGATGAGAAATTTAATTTATAAAAAAAATTAGCGAGCAAGCGTTTGAGTTCCACAGAACTCTTTTATCAGGCAGTAAGTTAAACCAAGCAGGTGGAGGGGAAGCTAGGAGTGATGTGGTTATTCCTCAGTTCCTCAATTTCTAATAACCTGGAGCTGGAATGCAGGATGAGTATGCAGACATATTTGGACCATACTTTCAAGGTAAGAAACAGGTTTAAGATGCATCCAGACCGCTGGGAGAAAGAAAGAGAGAAAGAAAGAACAAAGGAACATAAGATGAGCCTACTGGATCAGGCCAATGGCTTGATTTAGTCCAGTGTCCTG